CTAGGATGAATTCTTATTCAGAGAAGGCTTGGAGGGAGAACTGGAAAAGGAAAGGTTGTGGAAAGAATCTGTCAGATCCAAACTGACAATTGCTTGAATCAGAATGGAGAAAAATTAATAAAAACCCTTCTGCTCCAAAAGAGGTAAAGCAATGAATCTACTTCAGCCATCTTCACTCCGTGCTTTAAATACTCAGTAGTAGATAGCGTGAAGTCTTTCTTCCTCTGTGAAACCCTGGTCTCACATTCATTTTGCTGTAAAATGAAATAAACTTCAAACCTTCGATGTTTCATGAAATGGATTTGCTTTTCCACTTTAATTATAACAGTGCCTTACTTAGAAAGCTGGCCAGCTTTTTGTCACCACAGAACCACATCTTATTTGAGAAATCCTTCCTACTGTATGCTAATTGGAAAGATGTAGCCCTCGCGAAACCTCCTTCAAGTCAAGCAACAAAAGAAACGAGTACAATGCAGAGTTACATTTCTGCTTGCAGTGACTTTCCTAATATTTTATTTATTTGAAGAAATGACTGTTCAAAGAATAATGATGAACTTCTTAGATGAGCAAAGAAGCCTCAGGAAGGAAAGACAGAATGGCGAATCAATCAGGTGGGACAGAAACCTTTTCCAGTAAGCTAGCATATATATATATATTCCTTTTCTTTAAGATACAAGGATCCAGTTCTCTACTGTTTCAGTGGGCCAGCAGCTGCTTTAATCCTGAGAGCAAATATAACCACCAAGTCAGATAAAAATCTTATTGCCATCTCTCTACTGCTTGGTATGACTGTGGCTACGGTCCTGTATTGTCTCAAGGTAGGAATCCCAACCTAGAAACGCAAATGTAGTTGATAACTTCTATTAACTTTTGCACTGTACACATCTACAGCAAATTCTACTTCTTAACACACCTCTGACTTTAAAAGAAAAAATAACTGAATCTAAATCAATGCTTTCTCTAACTCAGCCTTTTTTAGTGTTAATTAGAAAAGTAATATTTAGACTTCTTTTTTTTAAAAAAAAACAATGCTACTGCATTACTGTAATGGCTCTACTGTTAAAAGGATTTTCATAATGTTCAGACATTTACTACAATAACTTCTGTAAGAATATCTCTTAAAAAATAAAAGAAATTAAAAAATAGAGATAAATAATTTCACTTCTTTTTGAAGGTCACTGGTAGAAAAATGGTCTAGTCTAAAATGAGTGCCAGGGAGGGAAGGAGGAGAGACAGAAAGGAAAGAACAAGCCACATGAATACTTATTACAATGTGAGAACAATTGATCTTGTCCTTTCAAAGGGGGCACTTTAACAAACTTTCGCATTCGACCTTCACTTCTAGGCCATAAAAACTATGAATTCATAGCATAACTCATTACCTGATTGATCACATAGTAGGTGGAATTGTAAAATCTTCATGGTTACACACTCTGAGTGACACAGGATACAGCTACGTGTGTAATTCCTCAGTGTGCCAGTTCAGTGTGCTGTAGTACAAACAATCAGTGCATGGCCTGCTATTCACTCTGTATGAGCCGCATATTTCAAATATGCTCACACACATACCTATATATATACACATACACACAGAGCTCCCTAAATGGTGCAAACAGGCATTGCCTAATTCTCTCTCTTGGGGACGGGGAAGGGTAGAAGGGGACATCATCAAAGAGGCCCACAAATAATCCTGAAAGCACCTCATACATACTTATGTGCTCTGGAGAGAAACCCCCTTCCTCAGGGTCCCTGGTATGCGAGTGCTGGCCACATGCTGGTGTGGCAGCAGCACCTATGAGCTGGTGGCAGCACCTCGAGACCTCCTACAACATTTTCTCTGCAGCACTCCTGCTCACCCCCTACTTCCCTGACCCATTTTTTCACTGTCGTATAATACATACCCATATCTTGAATGCAAGGTGGACATCTCATTTCTTCAACAGACTATCAAGCTGTTCCCTGAGACCACGCCCTTTTATCCTAAATCGATGAATTTTAACACAATATGTAAACTATGTGAGTATATTCAGTGTATTACCACCATGGGTGAAGATGTTTCATCCTTTTTTCTGCATCATGCTGATGTTCCTGAAGGATGCATCCTATTTCTGGTTGCTGCTGTGTTCAGATATGAAACAGTAATCATCAAGTGAGGTGTGAGTTGTGTCCTGATTGAATGTGTAGAAATGTTAGTAAAGCTGACAGTTGCAACATACATTTGGGGAATAAATGAGTTGAGTCATGCACAAAGTACAAAGAAAATGTCATAATAGCTTCATACTAAGTCAGACCTAATTGAAGGTCCACATGGTTTTGTATTCTGCCTCCAGACAGACCAAAAGTAGGTAGCCAGAGAACACAAGAATGAAACAACTTCACAATACCTACCCAAAATGTCAGCACATGATTATGGATTGGGTTACAACCCTCCCCAAAATCATTGTTTGTAGAGAACCAGAAATCTGATGACTTAATTTTATGTACTCACGTTATCGTACGGAAGTAGATGGCAAACAATTGATTTTTACTCATCTCCCAGTCATTCACCAGTCTTCAGGTCTTTGCCATATTCTGGCAGCCCCCTTTCTGTATATTTTCCAAATTGAAGGGAAGATACCTTTTCACACCATCTGTTAGTGTTCCACAAATAATCACAATTTTATATATGGCCTTTAATAGCAACACCCTAATGAGCTCCGTACTTCCCAAAAATGGGCCAAAGCTCCTCAATATTTTCTTATAGGGATACTAAGCTTCAGCTAAGATAAATCGTACAAATATATTGGCAAGAAATACACTGAATGCAAGTTTTTAAATTTTCCAGAATGAAGAGAAGCTATTGAACTGTGGTTCAGCAGCACAATAATGTGTTTGGAGACAGAAATTATCCACGTCATCTGAGTACTCACATGTATTTGGTAAAATTAGAAAACATGTTATGGTTTAAAGGCATCTAAGCACCACATAGCCATTCACACACACACACACACACACACACACAGAGTGGGATGAGGGACAGAATTGTGTTGAGATACAAAGAGATTACTAGGACAGAAAACGAAGGGAAATCATAACAACAACAACAACAACAACAACAACAACAACAACAACAACAACAACATAATAATAATAATAATAATAATAATAATAATAATAATAATAATAATAATAGAATGTACAAAGCAAGTGATGCACTTTCAACAGTTTACCACTTACTGGCTGATGCCCAGCCAGACTACAAGCAACAGTCCTCCCCAGCCCTGGTTCAGCCACGCCACAGTTCCCATTCAGCATAATGCCACGTGCTGTGGGACATCCCTTTGGGCAGCCCAGGCCAGCTGTCCTGGCTGTGTCCCCTCCCAGCTCCTGGTGCACCCCCAGCCTCCTTGCTGGCAGGGCAGCACCAGGAGCTGGGACATTTTTGGCTCTGCGTGAGCACTGCTCTGCCCCAACTGGAACATCGGCGGGTTATCACCGCTGTTTTCATCAAAAATCCAAAACACAGAATCATATCAGCAACTAGGAGGAAAATTAACCATATCCCAACCGAAACAAGGACAACTAAAAAATAAATGATAGAAATTTAATGTAAATTAACAAAAACAACATCTTGGCAAGCATTAGGAGAGATTGAAATTCCAAGATAGAAAAATATCTTGGAATTATCTGCTTGAGACAACAGTATGTCATTAAAAATGATAAAGAGGGTAAAATACTGCTATAAGATACCTGTTTTTCCTGGTGTTGTGGATGTAGTGAAAAAGTGATGAAGATGTGCTTTTTGAAAGGTAGACTTCCAACTTTATATGGTAACAGTGAAATTTAGGCATATAAATATTTTTTACAGGTCTCTCTATAACTGTTTATTTTTATATTAAAAACTAATTTTAAAAAGTGCCCTAGGTTAGCTTTCAGAGCTTTGAGGTTCTCTTACCTGCTACTTAGCAACGTTCTCTCATTTCCCTATAAACAGAAAGAAGAGAGAGTAATCTTATACCATAATTTATTTTACCTTTGAGATATAAAAACCTTTTGTTTGAAAGAGTCATAAAGTCATCAAGAGATCTAAAATGACTGGCAAAGATATCAATGTTTTCTCTGTCCCTAGTGGGTGATATCAGGGCACCAAAATGAGAACAAAATGGCATGATAATGGAAACGAAATGTCAACCACAGCATTTTTAGGGGACTCGTTCTGAGTAGAAATTAAAAAAGAACACACTGCCTTTTCTAAACTTATTAGCCACATATGCTAGTGCATATAATGTAAGAAAGCCACCCTAGGAATTTACTTCTCTGTGATCAAATAGATCATCTGTTCAGGGTCTTTCTTCATTGCTAGCTCTAGTTAAGGCCACTGAAATTGCAAGATTCAAAACCACATCTTTAGGCCGCCAAGGTAACAGAACTGCAGCTAAACACAGCTCAGTGTTTGTCCTCTCTAGATATGAATGACCACAGGCATCTGGTCTTCCCATTTGCAACTTGCTCTAGGAAGGGCATGAACAGCACCGTAGTCAGTTGTACTAGATTATGATTCCAGGTTATGAGGCACCAAGCCTCATAGGTTATGAGGTTTACCAAGCTCTAATACTAAAAGTCCTTGAAGAGTTGATATTGAAATACATTCCTATTAAAGCATAAGGTTTCATGGTTAAAAAACATAATATCATATATAAAAGTTGTTCAGAAACAAGTATCTCATGATACCTTGATCATGATGCTTAATGCCCTGATCATGAAACTGTCAAAAAAACTTTTCAGAAAAAGAGACAGTGTTAGATTCAGACAGGTGTAACTCTCCGGTATTAAATTCTGTCCAGGGACAGAAAAATCATCACTTAATACCTATTTCTCTAAAGTATGTGAAAAATCAAAATAATAATAATAAATCAATAAATAAAGACAACAATTACAGTAATAAAATGCATAAGAATTTACAGTAATATAAATTAGAGCTTTAAATAAATGTTTTCTGAGTGACTGCTGGAAGAGTAATGACTCTCAACATTATTTCTAAGTAATTCACAGGTTCAGTACTGACCCAAGTGATCTGGTTCTTAACTACTACAGTGTACAAAAATCTTTTGTAGAGGATCCATATCCAAATTTGCACAGGCCCCTGCTGTGCAAAAGCTCTGGCTTCTCATGAGATTACTTGGTTCCTGATGTATGACAGAAAAAAAAAAAAAAAGGTATGTATTTCTCTGTAAGCTTCTCTTCAAACTGTGGCTGTCAATCTCTCAAAGAAAGAGCAAGCAAGGGAGGGAGGTAGAGGGAAGAGGGAAAAAAAGGCATGCACATTCGCACACATGAAGGAGCTAGAAGGCATTACTGATGATGGATACATAAGACACTGCGTTATGAAATCAAATTCCCAAATTCACCCTCCCCTTTTCATCTGTCTTTTATTTATGTACTGTTTGTCATATTCTGTTTTCCCATCTGGTGGCAGTTGTGTGCATCTGATGAATCCGACAAAACTTTTGACTTTGTATTCTTCTTTGGTTTCTTAGTTCATTTACTGCTAACTTCTTAAAAGCTTTTCTCAAAAGCAGCCACTTGGGTGACATGCTTCCACTTCGCAGGTGTTACACAGGTATTACTGCCTCTGTGCTGCCTGCCCTGTTGCGAAGCCCATCTTTATAGCTTCAAGATTACAGTAATAGGCATACACTATATGGAATAATATTCACAAATGACCCCATTGTTCAGAATGCTGCATCCCCTACGTTTACTTGTGGCAATAAATCACATCACATTACTTCAGCTGTGGCAGATTTATACCTGCTTCCGATCAGTCAACGCATTGACTTTAAAATTTTGTTCTGAGTTTTTCATTACCTGTCTGAAATGTCCCTTTCATACCTATCAAAACTGGTCTCCATTTATACATACCCTCAGTCCCTACTTTCTAATAATAAATCTCAAATTCATCAGCCCCCTTGTCAGGTCTCTCATCCGTGGGTAGCAGAGCATTCACCTGTTATGCCTCTGAGCTGTGGGATTCCCTGAACTGAAGTTTCATCTCCAAATCCCCTGAGCTTTTCTAATCCCTCTTTGATTCACACTTATTAAAAATTACTTTTAATATTTGATCCACTACTGACACATGCTGTAGGCTTTACTGACATGAAAATATTTCTGTATTCTTTACAGAAGATGCAGTGACAATTTCAAGACTGAAAATGCATCTTATTGGCAGTCCACATAGATTCCAAGACTTGCCTTTCTTTGTCGTTCATTTCTGGGGTTAAACATTGTTCATTTGTTCAGGCTGTACCCTCTGGACCCCAAAATCTAAAAAATAAAAAATAAAAAAATGCAATAGTTATTAGTAAAATATCAAGAATAAAATGCAAAGCAGCGACTAAGCATGTAGTAGCAAAACTTCATAATTTGTAGAAGAGGTGCTTTACACAATGAGCCCAGGTGCTCCAGCACCCAATGATCCCAGGTGCTCCAGCACCGAAGCCCCATACGTGGACAAGACCACTTTGCCACTGCTTTTGATGATTTGTCTCAGTCTGCATTTTATCATTTGCAGGAAGTGTGTTTGTTACAGGAGCCTACATGTTATGTGAGTACAATGAAGTGAAGCACACAGAGCTCTGAACTATATTAGGACTGTAATTCCTGAAAGCAGGTATAATCTTGGCTCAGGATCTGCATCCAAATGACCTAAGCTTCATCTCACTCCTTCGGGGTGAAATGATAGTTTCTTAAACCCAGTGCAAGCACAATATGAAAAGAAAACACATTTATGCTTTGGGTGCTTTTTTTTTTAATCCTTTCAAGTACATCTTATCCCACACATAAATTTATATACACACACTGCTTAGGATAAACTGGTGCTGTATCAGAGAATGCTAAAAGCCCATGTAAGAATTGATTGGAGAAGGTAGTTAGTAGGACATTGTCTGACAGTTTGGGTAAACCCAGTGGGGATCAGGCACAAAGGTTACTATCAGAGGGTGATGCTGTATAAAATTTAACAGCAGCTGAAGCTCAGAAAAGCATATTTGTGGGAAGTGACCTAAGAGGAGGATTTATTTTCTGATCATGAGAAATGGCTGCACTTCCAATTATTTTTGTTCCCTGACTGAGTTGAATAGAAGTCTTAGTAAAATGCAAGATCAAATGATTTCTCAAGCCTTGCATACCCTACTGAACCTCATGCACCAAGGCATTTCTTGGCTCTGCCTACACTCTGAATACTCCCTGGGGATTCTCTCCCCACAGCCCCACAGATGGGCCAAGGGTGGTGGGACATGCTGCCTGGTGCTGCTTGTTGCTGTGTTAATAGAAATATTGAACAGCACTGGGCTGAGGCAAAACCCAGGCAGAACAAATCACCAAATGATGATGATTTCTCATGTACATTTACATCCTCCCACCCACAGTTAAACATAGGCTATATATATTTATCTTTACAGACTGAGTTCCAGGTCAGCCTTTCCAACTTTTGGCCCGAGATTAATGTTGGGTTGCCAACCCAACTTACTGCAATACATTTACTCTCATAATTTATTGTTACATTGAATTTGTTTTAGTGCTCTTGAACTTCTTCATTGTTCTATGGTTTATTTAAAATCAACATTAATGGCTCAGAGAGTTTCTAGTAAGCTCTTTTAATACTCTTGGGTGCGAGTTATTTGGCCCCGTCAATTCAAAAAAACGTTTAGCTCTGACAGCTGCTGCTTAACATCCTCCCAATGTATTGATCGGATACGAAGTAGTCCTTATCACTGTCAAATATGAGTATATCATGCTGCTTTGTTCCAAACCACAGCAGGGATATTTACTGAGGTCTTTTGCCTTTTCTGCACTGTGGTTGACAGTTTTACCATCTTTGCCTATCATAACACCATCGTTGGCATTCCATCCTTCTGCTACACTGAAATAATTTCCTCCTCTTCATCTCCCATTATGGGCTCTCTAACTTTTTCAGACATATCTTTAATTACTAGTTAATGATACACACTCCTCCAGCAGTTTCCCAGCTTTCCAAATGTTTTGCACTCACCTTAATGAGGAATATTGTTCCCTTTTCCACTGATAATCCTTTCTTATGCCATTTTGGAAATATAATTCATTTATTTATTTGCAACACTGAAAAAGAAAAAAAAAATCAACCTTAGGTGTGGCTGATTGCACTACAGTTACTACTGTGAAGCAAGTCTATTACTGGTTTAAGCTATAGCCTCTTTGTAATTAATAAGCAGAATTATATTTATCTATCTCTCTCTCTCTATATACACACGCAAATATAAACTCTTATTCAATAATTGATTTTCACTTTAATAAGCATGTCATATTTTATTTTAACTTTAATTATAATGGATAAACACTGCCAACAGAAACTGAGTGCTGCTCTGAACACTTCTTCTAACAAAAGTGTTTGTCCGTGGAAATTTTTATTATTAAACATAAATATTTTAAGAAAAAATCTGCTTTCAGCTGAGTATTTTTAGTTAGAAAAATTAAATGGCTTTGTTTTATTGTTACAAAATAATGTGTGTTAATAATTCTCTTTCTTCTCCTCTCCTCAACTCAACTCTGCCTTCCCCCTCCCTTCCCTACCCTTCCCAAATCTAGCAAAGCTTTTTTTTTTTTTTTTTTTGCCTTGTTGCACAACATGATTAAAGAGATCTGTGTCTGTATTTTAAGGAAGAACAGTCACAGCCAGCAGGAGGAGGTAGCAGGGTTCTTCTTGCCCTGGCTTCAGCAGCACTCTCACCTGGCACCTGAATACCCAATGGGTGGGAATTGCATGCTTTTGACTTCCTGTGGCTATTTGGTCTCACCCTGTTTTACCCTGCTTTGGGAGAGCACTGAGAGTGTCACTTTTATAGAGACTACTTAGGATTTTAATCAAAATGAGATATCTTCACACTGTGCTGACTTCGCCTCTGCCTCGACACACTGCCTCCTCTTCACAGAATCCACTGCTCTCCACTTCTTTTCCTTTTGCTGCTCACTAAACTTACTCCTTTCTGCCTAAACATTCCTAAAATGTTTAGGAATTCAATGGCCATCGTACTGTTCTCTACTTTAGCAAAGCACTTTCTCATTTTCTGTTATGTTTATTTAAAACACACGGCAAGGAGCTGACTCTCTCCTGTCTCTATCACACGTACCAAAGATAGGCCCTGTTTTTGTGTTCTTTTCATGACTCATCATGCTAAAGTCAATTACAAGTGTTAGAAGGAAAAAAGAGTCAAGAAATCTATTTTTCTTCTTTTTTTCTTGGTGAAAGACAGAAAAGTGTTGCCCACGTTTATACCACTCTTCACAAAGGCCTGTTGAAGAGACCTCTTTATGCATTGAGCAGGAATACCTGCTTTAAACCTGTTATGCAAGGTGTCATCAGATGATTACTTACTGCTCACTGTGGTCTTCTCAATTTCCCACAGCACCAATCCTCATGGTTTTGTATGATAAATGCCCACCATGACTCACAGTGTTTCAGGGATCTACGTAGTTGTGCTGGGGATAGTAAGCAAGGGACAACATTTAGGACTTTGAATTTATAGTTTAGAAACATGAAGAATGGAAAGTGCCTGTTTAGTTTAAGTTTCTGGCTGGAGAAGCTCCTCCAAGGATGACAGGCAGCTCTAGAGTACATACACAAGTGGCTGTTTAAAAATTTAACAAGTAGGCAGTGGAGGCTGCTATAATAGGTTGATCAAAGGCAAGAGTCAGCATCTTGACAGTGAATGAGTGGTAATAGCTACAATAGGGTTGGACTCTAAAAGACCTGGAAGGCAAAAACAGTTATTTCTGATGCAATATAGAAAAAGGAAAGATGCAAGAGAGGGATAACAAAAGAAAGTGATCTTTTCAGCAGTATCCTCCACGGCTACAAGTGGAGCAGAACACTATTTGTCAAGGCCAGAGTGACGGATGTTGCTGTAGCTGAGATAAAAGGAGAGGCTGAATGAGCTGGATAGAAAATCTTCTGTATGGAAATCTTTTCAGAAGTGCTGAAGAGGAAGAAAGTGTCAGGGTGAGACAGTGTCCAGAAGACTCACTAGCCAAAATGAGCAGACCATGTTCCAGACTGACAGGTACAGGAGAAGGCAGCAGTCAGCGAGCTCTTCAGTTGTACTGAGCTTGCCTGATGGACCCATATGAGTGCAGGTGGTAAAAGTGGGGATAGATGTTAGTTAAAGAAAAATATATTATTAAGAAGATGACAGAAAAGGGAAATAAATTAATGTTTGAAGATAGCATTATTTAGAGGAAAAACAGGAGGAGAGAGACAAAAGACCTAGGAGCTTTTGGTAATCAGCTGAAGAAAACAGGAAGGGGTTTGTAGGGTTAATTTGACCCTGATTACTGAAAGCCCCATCAATTATTTTATTCCTTTGACTAATTACTTACTTACTATAAAGGCCTGCAATGGAACAGTCATCTCAGGACAGGGAGCAGAAGGGTCTTTTTATGCCAGCCTTAATAAATCACTATGGTTCAGCAAAAACAATCTGCAAGTTGGAGACAATCTGGGAATCTTCTCTGAAATGTAACCTATTGCCTTTTGTTTTTAATGCACCATTTTTCTTGTTCTAATATTTCGCTTAGTCATTCTAAAATATCCTCCTTCTGATTAGGTGTACACCACAAGGCACAATGGGAGTGCTGTCTGGTTAAAGACTAATTCTAAAACCAATTTAAATCAATGTGAATGTAATTTACTCTGTATATTCCTCTGACATTCCCTTGTCAGTTTTACCTGTTATTACAGTCAAGGAAGAATTATGCTATAGTTCCATTTTTTTCCACATATTACTGTTTTAAAATAACATCCTTATCCTCTGAATACATATTACAAGTACATATGATCCTTACAAAAAACTAATCCACTTACATCTCTAAGATCCATCCTGTGAACATACTAAGCTTAACCTAGCTTAAATTTTGGGGTCTAGAAGTTCTTAGTTGCAGTTATTGCAAAAATTTTAGTATCAAGAGGGAAGGTGAGGAAAATAATTCGTTGTACTTTTTATACTTTGAAAGAAAGAGTCTGAAGATGATCTTTTAAGAACAGAGAAAAGGAAGGCAGAGAAAGAAGAAATTCCAGGACAAGTATGGATGACAGCGCGAGATGCAATTAGCAGTTCAAGATGTATAGCTTTGGCTAGGACATGAAAAATAAATAGCTTGGGAATCATTGTGAAGAGCAAAGTACAAGAGTTTGAAGCTAAATTTTAGAAGATCTAGAATGGAAGATTGGTTGATATAGAGAAGACAGAGGCAAATGGGACACCAGCATTCATTTAGAACAGGAAGAAATGAACCAAAGGAGATGGAGAATGAAGTACTAATGAATGAAACAAGAACAGATTCAAAAAAATTACCAAATGCTTGCAGAAAGAGATGGCAAGCTGCAGAAGAGAATTTGAATTGAAAATAACCTTCCACACTTCTTCTGTATAGAGATATGATGTGTTCCTAAGACACTTCTACAATTTCCCAAATCCAGTTGCTGCTTCATTTGCATAATATATATCCATTTTTACTGCATTAAATTCACAGTTGAAGTCACCTTGAAGACAGAAATACTGCATTTTTCTCTCATCTCAAATTTTTATGATATGCTTAGAAAGGACATCCCCAGGGCCCAGCCTATCTAGCCATTGCTTTAGCTTTCACTGTCTCTTCTGTCCCTCGGAATGTAGTCTGAGTTTCAGGTACTGCTGGGTAACAAGGAGGTAAGACTAGGACTTGTTTTGACATACACAGTTCCTTCTTATCAGTGGGAAAATAATAGGACAAATTTATCCCTTCTTATATCTGCACTGAAGGTCAGTGAAATTCCCCACAACTAAAGAGATCAATACATATAGATCTGCTCGCATTATTGGAACCAACCAACAGAAGAACAGTTTCTGTACTAAACACTTCAGTAAATATAGGAAAAACATTTCCTTGAATATTGCAAAAAAAAAATGAGCTGCATGGGATATGGATTGGTGCTTTGGATTGCTAGTCTTTAACAAAACAATTTCTAAGAGAAAACATAAAACAACAATTTCATAGAGAGATGGAATTTCTAGTTAGAAGAGAGACCCTAACCCCAGAGCTTGTGGCCAGAGCTCACTACAGGGTGGCAGATCCAGAATCGAAGCCCAATTTAGAGCAGAAATCTGAATGTGTGCATCTCATATGCAAGCTCTAACCAGCAGGAGAGCTGTATATAGCAGGGCAAAAGAGAAGAGAAGGAAAAAAATGATTCCTTCTCTTTTGCAGCCTCTCTCTGCTATGCATACCATGCCAGCATCTCTAAAAGCAAAACTCCTGAAAGCCAAACTTCCTCATTCAGGTATACATGCTCACAAGCACATCAAACAACGGTGAGCTCAGCCTTTTGATCACAGGTCACCACAAAGTGCATGCTAATAAGCCTCCCATTCTGTAGTGGATCATAGTACACCATTCTTTAAACTTTTGAAATGTTTCTCAGAAATAGCCAGCCAGAAACAAAAGCAGAAAGAGCAGAGCATTCTTTTAACCAGGAACATCCTGCTGTTCTTTGTTATACATGTACTTAAAAACAGAGCGCTGATTCTTTTGCTCAGTTGCAGGCATTAGCCGGCATACAGTAATACATTCTGTGTGTTTCATTAATGTCAAGTATCTAGCAGCAAAATTTTCCCCTAGGTACAGGCATTTGATCTGAGATGCAGGAATGCTCATATAAAGGCAGCTTCATCAGTCCAAGTGTAGAAAGGTCTGAGCTTGTGTCTTCAGACATCACTGAAAACAGCAGACAAATGGTACTCACATAATAGTGCATGGTTGAAGAGGTCATCTAATCTGAATGCACAGGCTACGTCACCCAGCATCGCTATATACAGCACAGGAAGTGTTCATTTCCCACAAACCTGTTTTCAAAATGTACCTGTGGGCCAAGATAAATAAATAAATAAATAAATAAAAATAAATCACAGTGCCACTCAGTAAGGAAAGGAGATAATGTACTAAGAAGTTACTTAAACATAAAGTAAGGTTTTTTTGTGTGTGTTTTGTACAACATTTTAAAATGGTTTTATACCAAGATCCTAATAATTGTATGTTTTGGAGGTGTAAGGGGTGTGACTTTCACAGAAATTGTTTCCAGTTTCCCCTGTCTTCTGTTGCAGAGAAGAAGTCAATGTTTTATGTCAAGAAAGTGAGTGAGCTTTTTTTTTCACTGCAAGAAAGTGGTAGATGAAATGAAGCACAGTGAGAAGCTGCTATTTCCAGTTCTAGCACTGAGAGTACCAGTGCAATCGTACTGTCCTCTTCCCATAGCCTCAAAGAAAGCATCTCCATCACAGCTATTTCATGCAGGGAGTTGAAAATAAGCAAAGAAATCTGGGACATTTAAGGAGCAAAGAGTGGGTTACAGAAAAGCTACAGAAATTTTTGAGCCAATCTTTTGCTATCAAGCAGTAATAACATTTCCTCATCTCCGAGTGATTGCGCTTCTCTGCATAACAAGTGGTACAATAAAGAACAGGCAGCCAGCGTGTGCCAGATCAAGAAAGACCTCTAGAGTTGACGTTCACACACAGGAGATGAGGCAATGCTCAGGTCACACACACAGGATCCAGGAATTTAAGTTGATGCTTGTTCATCAAACGATTTGAATAATATTTCTTTTGCCTTGTAGATTGCTTCTTGAAAAAGAGCTGCCATATACTTTTTTTTTTTCCTTCTTTTCACACCATGAGAAGTGGAAGAGCAATTTCATATCTGATTTTCTATTGAATTCTTTTCTTAGTTTAGTTACAGCAGGCAGAAAGATAAAGCACTGAATTATCCAAATCCTTGTTGCTTATCATTGTTTCGTAAGGAAAAGCTTGTTTCTCTAGCTACCCCAGCTTATCCTCTTTACTTTTCTAAAGAAATACTGTGGGTTTTTGGCTCTTTTTTTACTCATTGCTTTTCCTTAGCATGGACAACAGTCTGACAATAAATGTGCCAGCAAACAAAGGTATTTACAAGTATAGATACAGAATGAAAATAGCACATTTCTGTAGAGGAAGATATTGAAAAATGTTCTTGTTTGTGTGTATACAAAGAAATATGATTAACAGAAAGCAACATACCTGACTGTTGAAATTTATTTACTAATAAAGATGGGTACCCTGTTTTGTTTCCACATGCCTCACTGGAAGTTACATCTTTAAAGGAAGTCCGTAAATCATCATCAAAAGCTAAAGTGCCCTTTGTCATTTCAAGGGAAGAATTTCTAGCTACGAGAAACAAGCAGAAGTGTCTTGACAAGACAATGATTGCTGGAAAGTTGTCCTTCTGGCTATTCTAATAAGTTGTCTGTGGAGACAAAGATCTGTTTGCATTAAATAGAATGTGTTTTATGCCAATTACTGGAAAGAACATTTATCCAGGATAAGATAAGCTTATATGTTAGGAGTCCACACACTTTGTATGCTGTCCAGCCTACAGAAACAGGAGAGAAAGGAAAAAAATCTCTTAAAAACAACTAAAGAGTTCATGGCCACTTTGAAAGTTCAGAATGAAAACATTGCTTGTTTGCATTAGAATCATAATATTCTATAAACTTCAAAAGTATTGTTTCTTATAACATTTGCAACTATAAAATGAAAAGCTGTAGGGTTTTTACAGGGAACTAGAAGAGTTGCAGAAATGTAAATGTTCTTAAGCTCATTTAAAGGTTTCAGAAAGTCCTTGATTTGAAGTGGTCATTTCATACTCACTAATTAAACTACCTGTTCTCAAGGTTTAGCTAATTACTAGCCATGTACTTATTTTTGTGCAGTGCAGATAGCTTTGGAAGTTGTTGAATTTAGGCCAACTTCCCTTGAAAAGTCTGAAATAAGAAAACCAAACTCTACCAAGTATGAACCTCAAAGTCAAGCTGTGAATTTGCACTTATATAAATTGAAAACAATTAGGAACTCTACTTGAACTGCCTAGGGCAACAGAGAATGGAAAAATAATAATAAAAAAATAGCAACAGCAGAGCAAATGAGAAAACCACTATGAACCCATTAAGGAACAGATTTAAATAATTTTAGATTCTTCTGCACCTATGGACCACAGCCCAATACTATCAGTTTGGTTTCCCATGCACTGCTGCAGGTACCTCCTGCACTTCTGCCTGATTCCTCTGCTAGTCCTTGAGTGCCTGAGCCATGGTCAGGGCAGCAGGTATAATGCAGTATCCTCAGTGCCAGCTGTGCTTTTTGCCTGGCCAGCCAAGCAGAGGAGGTGGCCACCGAGCCCTCCATGCAGCATTTCTGTTGTAGGGGATGTGAAACTCAGGTTCTCCCCCCTATTGAGGAGATGACTTGACTGCCTGTGTAGGAACGTGGTGCCCTCAGACCTGCTGCTGCCTGTGTGTAAAGATCAGGCACAAATGGAGAGGTGGAGGGACTGACAGAGTAAACGCGTACATTTTGTTGCCATAAGGAAAAAGGCTATAGAGAGGAAAATTACCAAGTTTCTCACATTTCTCAGTGTTATAATACATTTTTGTCCACTCTCAACTATCAGTTCATTATTTCAGTTCCAGTACTACCTGCCATGTTATTCAAGTACCACACAGTAAATTCGTGCTGGGTAGTTTCTCTCTACTCTGCTATTCATATTTCCTAAGGAGACAGCACAGTTCTTACAAGAAGAGGCATTTAATTCACAGCCCTGCCACGGGCTCCCTGCGTGACCATAGACGAGCCACTTAACCTTTCAGTGCTGTGGTTTTCCCAGCTCTAAAAAGGGAATAATAACAATGCATTTCTTACCTTTTATTCATTTTGTCTGCTTTGACTGTATGATCTTTAGGGTAGAGGTTGCCTGCACAAAGTTACAGTACTACAGTATTTATCAGTATAAAACTATCAGTCACTTGTGTAAAATAGTTCTGAATTTTGATTTTTGTGAATTGAATTGAAGTTCATCACTATCACAGGGAGTACAAAAAGTTCAAATGCATTTAAAAAGAAAGTAAATTGCTCCACATTGCCTGTACTTACAGGTACTGTGCTGTCAGCCCCTCTGTTACAGCGACGTTGAAGCAGCACTGTGGCTGGATCCTTGATTTTTGACAGCTGGGAATCCTACAGCCAGCGACAGGATTAGGGACTGCCTTGCCTCTGGATTCTCCATCTTTCTTGTTCAGCACATCATTAAAGTGATTTCAATGTAGACTTGCTGCTGCTATGTTCTTGCTTGATGCAGAGGTGATTATATGCGTAGCAGCTGAGACACACAATATTCCTCATTTCAGCACAGAACATGCAATAATAATTTTAGGGCTTAAACTGTTAGACTGCTATCAGTAGCCAGGTAATTTTTTATTATAAAGAAAGAAGAAGAGAAAAAGTGAAAGAAAGAGAGGAAGAGAGAGAGAACATTTACCTGCTTGCTGAGATTCCTGACCCTGCATTCAGATATGTCTAGAACAAGGCACAGATGCTAACTACACCGTCAGCCAGAGAATTTATGACTCTTTTTCAGGGTTGGTGGAATGGACACATTTGCTTATACTGAGACATAGCATGGTAAATGGTGGAATTGCCTGATAAACTTGTGGCAATGGAAATGCATTCGTCTCTATACTATCAATGATGCAATGGGGCCTTACTTAAGACACTAAGATTGTATGGTTTTATTCATCACTATGAAAGCCTCCCTCTCCCCGAAGATAGCATAGGACAACTGTACTTGGCTTGACACCCGTTTTTAAACAGTTCAGAAAGGCTGATTCACTCTTCCTAGTAAATTCATACTAAGATCTTGGGAAAGACAGCGGGAGAAAGTGAGTCTGGGGGCTGCGATGAAGAAACGCATCTCTTCCAACCAACAGTACTATTGCCTAATGTCCTTTCAAAGCTATAAAATGGGTAACAAAAACATTAGCAATTAGATATGTCACTACTATGAAAAATACTGTTTTGCCCCATTCTTAAGGCATCTGGGACTCTCTTAAGGTTGAACTTTTAAAAAAAGATCTCAGTCTGCCCTGAGATGTTTTCCTGATTTTTTTTTAACCTGCACACTCATATTTATTCTAAATTAAAATTCACTGGTGCAATTTGAATTTTGTGCCTAAGATTGTGGCTTACATTTGCAGAAATAACAAAGTTCCAAATGATAGGGATAATACAGCAACTATTTTATAAGATTGAACTCAGTACTCTATATTGCTGATGGCCCAGGTTTCTAGAAAGCTGGGAGGCTGAAGATCCATACTTCCATTCAGGAAGAGAAAATTCCCTTCAAAATGCAGGTAGGAAAAGAACTTATCTATTTTTAAGAATTCCAAATTCCAGCTTTTTTTTTTTTTTTTTAATCAGACGAGTGAGTTTTGTTTTTTCTTCATTTCTGTCCTCTGACACCTGTTTCTGACTAGCTTCTTTCAAAACTGAGCAGATCTGATTCAAAGACAGAGATAGAGAAGAAATTCTCACCACATTCACAAGTGCACACAAAAATCAGAGACTTAGAGCTGCATATTAATTCACAATCAAAGGTTTTTAATGTTATTTATCCTAATTTAGAAGCAACAGTGGTTTTGTGTCAAGTTTGTTATGGTTCACATTTTACAATGTAAAGCAGTCATACCAAAACATGATCTGGAATCAGGCTGCAAAGAAAAAAATAAATAAATATTCCTTAATATTAAAAAAAAAAAATAAAATACATTGAACTAAAATGAGAAATATTTACTTTTATTTTATATAGAGGTGCCCATTTAGATTGGCACAATTTAAAGTTCTACTTGCTACTCAGTTCAAGCAGCAATGATGCCAATACCATAGGAAGTAGTTTGGATTTTTCTGCTTCCCTGACTGAAAATGGTCACTACTGATAAGCTTGATGGTTTGATGTACTAATAACAGTTTTACATGTAAGCAGAGGTTCGTTATTTGCTACAAAGCTGAAAAAAGCAAAGTTTTTGTAGAGCAATATCACGCACATGTTTGCCCATGAAATATTTCCATCAAAAAAAAAAAGTGTTATTCAGTGATGGAGATGATTTTAGCTTCATGTCCTTCCTCTTCAGTGCATCCTAGAAGCTACGAACATAACAGAGCAAGACCCCTTCCTGTTAACAGGGGAATGGGCCAGAAGTTTTCGTCTCAATGATACAGCGGTGTTAATGAAATGTTACTTCAGTCATAATTGTTAAAGTAAACCTCGTGGTTCATATGCACCAAAACTACAAAGTCCTTTACCATCAAAACAAAACAAGAAAACAACAAACATAAGGCACAAGTATTTCTAAATATTTCATTGAAACCACAAATCATCAGAGGAAAACTGGTCAAGCAGTAGAGAAAAGCTGTTCATTTAGTAAACAACTGTAGATGGTAAAATGTAATTATCACAAAAGCAAACTTTACTAAGGGGATAACCGTGAAAGCTGTTAGAGTAAAAGGTTTCTTTACATTTTTAATCTGACAGCCTGAAAGCTCTCTGGAGAAAACAAATCTTAATGAAACCACACATGCAGAAGTTCTTTTCAGCCCTTGTTCTCCACTGTGCCTCACATAACAAGCTTTTAAAGCAAATTAAACTCATTTGTTTGCAATAATGACCACACATGGAAGATGAACAGAAGACTTGCTCAGTATTTATTGGCAAAATAATTCTCGACTCACAGGATGACCAACTAATCTGGGTTCCACTTCTTTTTCCAGCCCTTGGAAATGGTAATAACTCTCTAAACTCACTTTCTGGAAGTGGCCAAGAGGAGAAACTAAAACCAGGTTCCATCTGTGGCCAGTTTTCTAACCTTAAATATAGAGCTAGAAGACAACTAGATAGAGGAGATAACAGATGTACCACTTCTACAAGCAACCTTATGTGTACAGTTTCTGCCTACATTGCCCCCCAAGACTCATTTTCCCACAAGCATCTTTAGCACTGTAAATTTTAAAGGGGAAAAACACCCTTCAAATAATAATAAAAAATAATAATTTAAATATGGCCATATACATCTTTGCCATATTGCTTACAAAGCAATAATTTGAGAGGTGCTAATTGGTTCTATCACTACTCAGTTCCCCAAAATATAAAATATGTAAAATTTGAACCATGAAAAAGAGATGTAGCATGGGACCAGTGAACAAAACTCCGTAGCCAGAGTCCTGTTAGCTTCTGGATGGAAGGGAGGAAGGGAGGGGGGGAGGAAAGGGGGAAGGGGGGAAGGGAGGAAAAAAAGGTTGATAAGAAATGTTGGAGATGCTTACTGACCTGTTTTTAGCTTACCAAAAAGAATCAAAGTGTAACACTTGAGGACCAGGAGGCTTGGAATAACCAGAAGCAATCTGTACTTCCACTTCCTTACTTCCCAAGGGAGTAATTCTGTATATCCCTGTTATGCATGTCAAAGCCCAGCCAACCTTTTGAAGGTCCAAAAGGTCTTTTGAGAAAGATTGGGAATTGTTTCATCAGTTTAGTCTGTCCTTTTGGGAACATGCAGTTTGATGCTCTGAACATTCACATTCATTTCTTGCGTTCCCAGTCCCCAAGGACCAGAAGTTCTTTGAACCAAGAAATCAGCGATGTTGCCTGTGTAGTTTATTTAAAGACCAATCTGCTCTTGGTAAGTGACCTTAGTTCAGCAACAAACGTTTGATTAATAATTCCAATGACATTGCTTCACATTTAGTACTTGATTCTACTGCACTTTTCCAGGCAAAGCTCCCACCAAAGTTAAACAGAGTTATACACTTGTAGAGATGGTTGCTTTTAAAGTAGCACATGTTCCTTTATGTATGGATTAGCAGTTTGTTTGTGGTATCTTAATCACTTCTCTTGATATGATTGAGGAGCCCCCATCGTCTTATGTTTCAGGGCCAAACTATCCAATTGATTTTTAAGCAAACCTCCCATTGATTTCAGTAAGAAACTCTGCCTTTAAAAGAGAAAGAAAAAAAAAAAAAAAAAAAAAAACAAAGAAAAAGAAAAGGAAAAAAAAATCAATTGCATATTATGGCCCTTAGAAAGTAAACAGGATAAGAGAAATCATTTGAAGATGTTTCAGGCATTGCAAAGGGAGTTTGTTTCAAAACATGAGGAAACAAGACTAGTAAATTGTCTGAATTTTCTTATTGATCTCCAGGCACAAAGAATGTATAAAGAGCAAATATACAATGTTCATATTCCCTCAGTCTGAGGGAAAGAAACATTAAACCTACTAAAATTACAGTGTTAACTATGTCCAGTGCACAACTATAACAACAGCTGTTTAACAATGACCTTTGCAAGTGACTTCAGTTTCCTTCAGATCAGTTACTTCTCAGCTAAACTTGGACAAAGAAAATACCTTTCTTCTAACCTAGAACCACTGAAATTTTAAGGTTGTTTTTTTTTTTTTTTTTAATTTTAATAGAAATAAGTTGCCATTTGTGCAAAAATTTTAGGTCCAGAACACATTTATTTTATCAAAATCAGGAAAAAAATATCTAGCAAATGTTGAGAAAATATTCAGGTCCTATTAACATATTTTTTTTTCCTGAATGAAAAAAAACATAGTTCACTGAAAAGATCACTCAAGCTCTTTCTGCAGTTTCACCTCTTGTTGGTCCTGCCTGTGAAGTAGCTACAAAACTCCAGAACTGACTGTTTCCCTTCTCCAGAGCATCTCTTACACTTTGTCTCTCAAAACCCAACAAAACTTTATGGTACATCAGTCTGTCAAATAAAATCTCTAAAAAAAATCTCTTCCATTTCTTGTTCACATGGTGTTTAGCTTCACTACAAAATAACTGTCCTCATTGGGTTATTCTTCATGCTAGTATAGGCAATTTATTGTGATCACCGGTCTTGTAAAACTATCAGAGCCAAATGGATGGTAGCTATCTACGGCACCCAGAAAGTGTAGACTCATTTCTAACCAAGCACAGAGAACAAGGAGAGGCAGCTTGGGTCTATGTGCAGCCAGCCATGTGTATATCAAATAGCACTTAGACTCATTAGTAAGCTCCTGTTGATACCTTCTTCATCTGTTTGCTGCTATTTCCACTATAACAAAGAGTGAAAGAGAAGATGCACTTAAGCACTATGCAAGTCCTTTGCACAGTCTACAGCCTGAATGCATTTAATCCCATGCATACAGACTGGTGTCACGACTGTCAAACTACAGCTGTATCTGTAAAGCTGAAAATTTCAGTTGCTGTGTCTGAAAGGAGGAATCAAGGTCTCTAGATGGGCCTATAATAGACACACTCTGTATATTGACACAGGTAGGT